AACATATTAATTCAGAACATATTATACAGTGCAATTTGGACAGCCTAACCCCAAAATATAAAGTATATATATATATAAATAAATAACTATAAAAGTATAAATCGTAAATATTAAAAATATTTTTCACAGTATATAATAATATATTTAAGTCAAAAACTATTTAATATTGGACTCATTTCGAAGGTATTAACGAGACRATYWTAMTDGTGTAACTTGTTAAAATAAAAATGTATTTTTTAAACATGTTTTAATTGATATACGATTATGTATGTTAATTTGATAAAAGTTTAAAATGAAACATTTAAAAGTAAAGGACATAAAGTAAATTAATTAATTAATTATGGGGGTACAAAGTGTAAATTTAAAATTATAATTTTAAAAAAAATGAGTTGTGAGAGGGTGAGTGTATGTGAGGGGGTGAGTGTATGTGAGGAGAGGAGGAGGTGAAAAAGTGACCTAAAGGTAGTATAAAGGGTATTTTGGTCCTGTAGTATTTTTAGACTTTAAGACTTTTGTTAAATTTGCTTAATAAGATAGTATATATATATATAGGGGCTTAATCAAATGAGAACTAATTAGTTTGTGGTAACCGTGAGATCCAATCCCAACCACAAATCAATAGATAAATTAGGAAATTTATAATTTTGGTAATTTTTAATTAAAATTTTAATGCAAGGGTATTTTAGGTATTTTCTTTCCTCTCTCCTATCTCCTCTCTTCTCTCTCCGTCCCCCGGCCTCCGACCACCATCCTCCGGCCACCGTCCTCCAGTGATACCACAGTGGTATCACAATGCATCATATATGTGATCGGGTATCACAATGTGGTCGTTTGTACGGTCGATCGGATATGTAACACAGTGGTATCACAAATGCATCTTATATGTGCTTGAGTATCACACTGTGGTATCAGCGGAGGATGGTGGCCAGAGGCCGGAGGACGGTGGCTGGAAGACGGGGACGGAGAGAGAAGACAGGAGAGAGGAGAGAAAATACCAAAAATGTCCTTGCATTAAAATTTTAATTAAAAATTACCAAAATTATAAATTTCCTAATTTATCTATTGATTTGTGGCTGAGATTGGATCTCACGATTACCACAAACTAACCAGTTCTCCCTTGAATGAGCCCCTATATATATATATATATATGTGTGTGTGTGTGTGTGTGTGTGTGTGTGTGTGTGTGTAAGACATAGTTGATAGAAATGGTAATTAAATGGGAACTATAAAAAGGTTGACAACTCTGAGAACCGATCTCAATTATAATTAGATTTTGATCCTATGGCCATAATTAAAGTGTGTTTTTTTATCGCAAAAGGACATTACGGTAATTCTACATTTTAATCTAATATTCTTGTTTGGAATCACTAATTATCTCATTTATCTACCATAAATATCCGTTTCATGTCATCATCCTCATCAATTTGTTACTTCCAAGATACAACAAAATCAATTAGATAAAAGGTACGCAAATTTTACCTTCAAGATTTCTATTCAAGATTTATTGAAAAACCTGGAAAGTTATAACGATGGAAATCAAATGACAATTGCCATGTTGGTGGTGAATTTAATGATTACGTTTTGTTCGATGTTCTCGAAACGGACCTAAAATTCATGATTTTTGCGAATTTAATGGTAAATATTGTTGATACAATTTATTAATTGATTACGTTTAAAGTTGCATAACAAATCAATGAAGCTCTATGGTCGGTACACGACAACTTCTAGCCCGATTTAAATATACTCAATATGTAACCAGATTCACTTTGTGAAACATAAATAGATTCACTTATGACTTAAATTTCACATTATGAAATATAAACAAATTCACCTTATAAAATATAAAGACAGTGCTTCAAAGTCAAACAAAATCATAAACATATTTGCTCTTCAAAGTCGCCTTATGAAACATAATGACAATGTATCACCTTACCAATCAATCGTGCCTCTATTCGTCTACATCCCAATTGTTTATAGGTTCTTCCAACTCTCTGCAAATCCTTCACAAATTACATCAACTATCGCACATGGATACAACGTTTTATTTTGAAGATCAAGTTTCAATTTCAACAAAAGATGGTGAAATTCTTAAGGCAGATTGCAATTGCGATTCTGAAAATTGGTTGTTTCGAGTAATCTGCAATTCAGAATTTTCTTTGCCAATTGGTTGATGGTTCAAAGACTTGAGGAAAGAAACAGCAATTACGAGGTTCTTAAGGGGGTTTTGTCGGTGGAATGAGGGATTTCTGGAGGAATACATGCAGTGGGGATTCACAAGAAGAATTATGGTTTGATAGTAACGCACGATGCTCGGAAAGAAGCATTTAGGGTTTTTGCTATGGCGGTTGCAAGTAGAAATGGTACATATCTAATCATTCTAATATGACATGAAAAGAGATTTGGTGTCCGCCAAATTTTAATTTGATTTTAGTGATATAATACTCAAAATACCCTTTCAATCTACTTTCAGTTTGACAAAAATACCCTTATTTTACTATTTTATTAAAAATATGCTTGAATCGATCCACTCTTGAGGAAGTTAAGTTGCATAACACCTCTAACCATTGACCAATAGCTAGTTTAAAAGAAGAAATTGTGACACAATTAATGGATTTTAGTTGTTACCAGACTTTGATCATGTTTTCTATTGTATTTGAATCAATTTAATTGAATTTTTGAATGTGTTAAAAATAGACGATGGTATATTTTAATTAAAATGAATTTTATGGTTTTATAAATTCAACACTATACCATTTTGAGGGATAAAATATAGATAATTATACATATTTAGACGTTTGTCAGTTTATAAAAGCAAAGAGTCTTATTGGTTCAAATTTTAGAGTTCGACACCACCTCTTATCAATCAAAAGTGAGACAAGACTTCAGACTTCAACACCTCTTAAAAAAACAATCATCAACTTAGTGTTTCTCTACCATGACGAATCAATTGATTTAATGCAGGCATCGCACTTGCAATTTGGGAATGCTATTCAATTGCAATCAACTTATCACATCTTGCTTTCTTCTATTGATTTCGGTTTGATTTAAATTTTCATTTAGTGTCTATTTGGTCTGTGCGATACGGAGGATTTGGAGGTATTTGAAATTCAATTTCATTTCAGTTTCGTGTTTGGTTTAAAGAAAAATCTGAAAATGAAATCCTGGGATTTCAATGAAATATTACCAACATTGGATTTAGAATACACATTAACATTTTAACTTTGGGTTTGATTTATGTTTTCGATTTAGAGTTTGTATCAAAAACCTTTTTTGAAATGAAATTATACTAAATTATTATGGTATATTATTAATGTTTAGAGTTTCTGGTGTTCTTCATGGAGTAGATGAGCGTTCAACCAACAATAAAACGAAAAAAAAAGCCAAAAAGGAACTTAAATGCCTTCGTAGTTAAAGGACGTAATGGATGGGCGCTTGGTTTAAGAACTACAGTTGTAATAAAATGAATATTACCTGAATCAATCAGATCTACAATAAACATAATTTAAGGACTCGTAATTTTCATCAAAACATATGAAAACTTTTACTTTACTCTTTAAACTATAAATCTTTTGAATTCCAAATTTTGACAATTTAAATATGTTGCCGTCAAAAAATATATTGATTCGTCACCAATTTGAAATAGTTAGTCATTGATACATAAAGTACCATCACCAACCTCGGTCGTCGGTAAGGTCGTGCAAGCAAGTGGAACCCTCGTCCAAGGAGTAGCACGACTCTCCATGCAACTCAAGTCGTTGGAGGAGTCACATAACCCACTGGATGGTAAGCTCAAGTGAGCATAGGCAACTCAACACGAGACTCTTTTTGGAAAATAGGTTGCAGGCGAGTCCAAGTTGGGCTAAAACCCCATTTTTCTAGGGTTTGGTCATTATTAAACTTATTTCTCTCCATTTTCTTCTCAAAGGTGGAGAGTTATGAGACTTGAGGACCGATTTGGGAGATCTTCAAGGTGTTGATTGGAGGTTTGTAAGCATTATTTGGAGCTTGAAGGTTGGGATCTTCAAATTCTACATCAGAAGACCTGGGGTTTGCTTTAATTCTAGATTCTATGCATAAATTTAGTAACGTGAGCTCTAGTTGCTTTATTAAAACTATATACATGTCAAATTGTCCCTATTCGAGTTTTGGAACCTTGGTTGTTATGTTGTCTTGCAAGATTTGTTGACCATTGGTTGTATTTGCATTTTTTTTGGAGCATTTAATGGTCAAAATCTTAGAAACTTCATATTGATGAGTTATCGGATGTTCTGGGGCAAATCAAATGAGTTTGGATTTTCACAAAAGATGTGTTATTTTTGACTTCTTATACTCTTAGATCATGAATGCTACTCGAGGGTTACAAATTTGGATATTTTGAGTTAATTTCATGGGGTTGTTCGATGGCTGGTAGATTTTGATGAAGTAAGAGTAATGCATATTTAAATGTTAGGGTTTGCCTAAGTTGGGTGTTCATTTATTGTTTTGAACATTGGTTGCATAAGTATTTCCATATTCCTATGGAATTTGGTGACAGGATGGTATATTTGACCCTCCAGATCATAAGTGTTAATTTTTTTGCTTTTGACAATTGTGCATTAGGTCACTTATTGTTGTTAAGTGAGAAGTTGATATTTTTTGTCTTTCAACTAAGATGAGTAGACACCAAGCCATTTGGGGTTTTGCACTGAAACTTTAAGAAACGTTATACAAGGACCATAGGTGTGTCCGACGGTGAATCTCTAAGGATCGTTATACTGAGACTATTGACTCGCAAGGTGAAACTCAGATAAAGAACAAATATGCACTAGGATCATTTTAAAGTCTTTCAATGGAACCTCAAGGAGCATTACACAGAGACTATTGATCTTAAGGTGAAACTTGGTAACATTGACATGTGGCTTACTTTTGTGTTCCATTCACACAAAATGGAAAAATGGGTTCCACCCGTCATCGTTAGATGTAAATTGTGTTTGAGTTTTATATTGATAGTAACTTTGGAAAGATATCTACTTTTGTCAAGAGCATATCGATTTTAGAGATGTTACATTTACCCTAAATTATGACAGTGATAAAATCTTTAGTCTTCTATTATTAGGGGTAAGATTGTCATTCTATTAGAGTCTCTACAATGATATGACTTAAAAGAACCTCAAAAGTGTTATTTTGTATTATCACATATAAGATTCTGAAAAAAAAAAATACTTGAACCTTTTTCGAACTTGTTTGTAGGTTCATATAGTTTTCCTCATTAACTTTTTACAAAATAAACCTATTAAAACAAATACAAATTTATATAAATAACAAAAAATTAGTGGAAAAGTACAAGTTAATTTACCAACATAAGAAATTGGTTTCAATTTAACAACCAAGTGGTTCTTGAAAAAACCTAATAAAGCAACCATTGTGGATGTTTTATTTAATAAAAATGTAATAATTATGTATTTCTAAAACAATGAATCTTTTTTACATCTGTTCTGGGACTATTAAAGTATATATTTTATTAGTTACTTAATACAAGCAGTCCTTCAAAAAATACGTTAAAATAAACGGCGTTTTCAAAACATATCTCACAAATAAATGTAATGAATTAATCAATCATCTAAAATAGCACATTACCGAAACAACTCCAAGAAACCCAATCTTTTTAAATTTGTAATATTTATATAAGATAAATAACTCACACGATTTTGTTGCTAAAGTAAATGAAAATTGCTTTATTTTGGAATATCATGACAAATAAAATCCTTGAATAATGAGACCAAGTCTCTGCAGTAATTAGTATAGATGGACAGAACCTGGTTATGGTTGATCTGTATGCTGGTAGGCATAACTGGTTTTGCTCCCTTATGTTAGAAAATTAGGGATTGAAGATAATACATGGACTTCATAAAACTTTGGATCTTGGAAAGCATGCTTTCTGAATACAATAATTCAACCCTTACCATCTTGGGTATCAGGAATTTTGTATTAGGAAAATTCAAATTAATACTCTTGACTTTAAAAGCTATAAAGTCGAGATACTTATACACACCAGATTCTCGCTTACGTATTTATATGAGAGATCGATAGTTATGTTAACGGATAAGATTTGAGAGCAGTTACAACTGACTCAGAGTCAGAAGCAACATCAGATGAAGTCTAGAGGCTCTGAAGTTCCGGAGGGCCTTATATCACAGGAACAAAACCTTTGAGTACACACGCCTCTGAACTACATTTAGTCAATTTTCACCAAGTTTTAGCATCAATTCAAGAAGGCTTCCAACATTCTAAAATAAGTTTAAAACGTCCCAAAACTTATAATTCCTAAGTAAACCTCTTAAAATTCGTAGAGGTTTTGGGGCCCGCAAGGGGATCTGCCCCTTTAACCAGGCATGGGGTGCTGACCCCGCAAGGGGACGCAATCCCCTTGACCCCGCCTTATGGCGATCTAAGATGATAGAGACAACATTTATGAATATGCACTTTGCACCATGTAACTCATTTATATTTGTCTTGTTATCTAATCGATCTCAAGTAAATCACAATCACACCAAAATAATTGATGACACTAAATTCACCAACACCTTAAATGATCTGTTATCCAAAATATGTAATTGATATGGACCGTTATAACCAGCCTTTAACCGGTCCCATGACCCAATCCAAATTAACAGGCCTATTTGACCAACGAGCCAATGGCTTGTGTCACTTAAAAAAAGGGTCAAAATCTATTAAGCTTAATTGGTGATTTGTCTTGTCATTTAGAAAGATTATATTTGATAGTAATTGGCATAACCAATCCATTTTTAACGGATTCGTAACCAAATCCAAACCTCAACCAGTTTTGACAAGTCCAACAATTATGCTGGTAAAATGTCAAAAAACAATATCATTTCATATCCTACACAGAACCAACTGCGTGAACATACACATCATAATTAATAAGTGTATGAGTTCGTTTAATGCTCTCCACAATACAAAACAATACTCTCTAGACCAACATAATATGTACAAAAACATCCTAATTCGAATATGTAATTTGTTATTTTATTAATTTATATATCAAGTCGAATCTATATTTATTTTAAACTTGGTGAATTATTAATTTACTACGTTGGTTGGGGGGTCTAAAAATGCATACAGGAATATTCGGTGGTATTAAATATTATACAAATATAAGAATTTTATGTACGTATAAGATAAGGGTGGCTATATCACACAAATTTCCTAAAGAGAGGATACTTGTGGTTACAGATTCATATGGATAACCCGGCTGACCACTCATACCATGCAATGTAATTCCCCCCNTGATATTTTGAGTGGAATGATTCTTGGATGCCATTTGGCTAGAGTGATATAATGAAACTGTTAGGCCCCAACCCCAACCCCAACCCCAACCCCATGTAAACAATATGACATTGTCAATTTCTGAAAACTAAAAGCATACCAGAAAATGGCAGTATCCCTCTCCGCCACCGGTGTCCGGCAATTACGAGGCAGCTCGGGATTGACTCCCAGGGACTGGAGGCCTGTCAATGGGGAGTTGATGGGGAAGAAGTTAAATTTCAGTCAGAGGGTTCAAAGCAAAAACAATGTCAAGTCGAGTATATGCATGACCATCACCACCATTGCTACAGGTGAGGCAAAGGTGAGTTGCTGACCCTTTAAAAAAAGTCAAAAGTAGAGTCCGAATAGCATTCCCTTTGTAGATTGGGCAAATTGGTACATTGGTCTGATTCCTGTGATATACTTTCAAAACTTTCATTTTGGTACCTCAAATGTAACATCTCAAAAATTTAGGTACCTGGGTTAAATGAGAGATTGCATGAAAATGCAACGTATTTTGGTTTGATTCCTATTTTGTGTAACATGCTTTGATGTAAATGTTTAAGATTATCGTATCTGAGGTACCAAAATGAAGATTTTAAAAGTACATTACACAAAATAGGGATCAGACCAAAATATGTGCAATTCCATGCAATTTGCCTATGTAGACTTGACTCGAAATCTTGGTGAAAATATTTGTGCAGTTGAGGGACCTAGAGATGGAGAAAAGGGACCCGAGGACAGTTGTGGCGGTCATACTGGGAGGTGGAGCCGGTACTCGCCTTTTCCCTCTCACAAAGCGCCGTGCGAAACCTGCAGTATGCATTTCTTGTTATATTCTGTTGAAATTGAAAACTTTATGACAAATGTAGTAAGAATCGACTTATGTTGGTTGTGTTGTAGGTGCCGATTGGAGGAGCGTATAGGCTGATTGATGTGCCAATGAGCAACTGCATCAACAGTGGGATCAACAAAGTCTACATTCTGACTCAGTTTAACTCGGCATCACTCAACAGGCACTTAGCACGTGCTTACAATTTTGGAAATGGTGTTACCTTTGGAGACGGTTTTGTTGAGGTACCAGTGATTCGCATACTCCTCCGTCCTAAAACAGATGTCCACAATGAAAAAAGGCACACAGTTTTAGAAGTTTTAATTAACTAAATGACAAGTTTACCCTTAATAATTTAGGGAGTAATGAGTTTCTCCATATCATAATTATGAGTATAATTGTTTCGAGATAAACTAAAACAGAAATATGACACTTATTTTGAGATGTAAGCAGAATATAGGCCCCCTTGTAGTAATTATGTCGTTTCAGGCACTATCAGCAACTCAAACTCCAGGTGAAGAAGGTAAGAGATGGTTCCAGGGTACTGCAGATGCTGTTCGCCAATTTCACTGGCTCTTTGAGGTACCCACCACTTCATATTTATGTAATACTAAAATCAACTTCTTTAAACCAAGCCAAACCAACAAAAAGTGTGCCAAAAAAAGGAAAGAGGAATCAATACTATCAAATAGAAAGCGGTATAGAATTAACATAAATTTTCTGTAAAGCAAATCAAATGAACCCACTAGAAAGCAGGATCCGGGAGGTTGGGAAGTAGGCAGACCTGTCCTCTACCTCAAAGATAGAGCGGCTGTTTCTGTGGAGATCCCGGCTTGTGCAAAAGTGTGAGCAAAAAGGAAAGAGGAATCAATGTTTTTAAATAGAAAGCAGCATTTAAAACATCAACTTCTGTCACACTAACAAACTATTAATAAAGTGTAATATACGTACCACATATGTGATTAGTTTTGCTTTGTAGGATGCAAGAAGCAAGGACATCGATGATGTTCTCATTCTATCTGGAGATCACTTGTACCGAATGGACTATATGGACTTTCTTCAGGTGAAATGATAAAGACGGTTCACGAACATTGGTGCTCTTACTAACAAAACTATATATACGCAATTGTGTTCAACAAGTTCATATAGATCACATGTTCAACATATCTCCTGCAGAGTCACCGGCAAAGTGGTGCAGATATCACAATTTCCTGTCTGCCCATGGATGACAGGTAGATTGCTCTTTTTCTACACCCTCTATCCTCCCTAGGATGCCTAAGTGTGTGTTTGGTATGCAAACAGCACTAGACAATATTGGGCGTGCGAGAGTGAGGTAGGCATGTGAAAGAACTGTGCAAAGTTTTAGGGTTTTAATCTGCTATGGGTAGTTTAGTAATTTACCAATCTTGTTCCATTTACCTGATTTTTGTTCCACCTATTTTGGTGGGACAAAAAATGCATTTTGTCCTGGTGTGTCCCAGTCTTAATGTGGCACCAAACGTGGAACAAGTTTTTGTTAGTCCATTCCCGTGTACCAAACACATCCTAAATAATTTCAACTACAAATTCAATTGAAATAAACCTTGCAATGCCTACAATTCTATCTATCTATCCTAATAAAATGCAAAACAGAGTATAAACAGATATGATGATTATGGTGGTGGTGATGAGGATAGAAAAGATTTTTTATATTATTTAAACTCGAACCCATCTTTACTTTTGGTAATCTTTGCCTTCTTCAATCTTCTTCTATCTGCATCCATGACAGCCGTGCCTCAGATTTTGGATTGATGAAGATTGACGGAAAAGGAAGAGTCCTTTCTTTCAGCGAAAAGCCTAAAGGGAATGACTTGAAAGCAATGGTAAATGGGATCTAGTTTGAAATAGCATCATAAAATCATATGATGGACACATTTCTAACATAAAATTTATACTTCAGGCAGTAGACACCACAATTCTGGGATTGTCTAAAGAAGAGGCTGAAAAGAAACCATACATTGCTTCCATGGGAGTATATATTTTCAAGAAGGAGATCCTTTTGAATCTTTTGAGGTACATGAAACATCAATCTAAATACATACATTCATATTTCGTACCCAATAGAACAAAAGCCGCTACTGAGTGGACAGGCATACATAGGAATTAGATTAATCAAGCCTTATAAAGCAATAAGACTATAAGGTTAAGACTAAAGAACCTACAAAGGCACTTTGTAGAACTTCAAATAAACAGCAGGAGAAAAATGGGTGTGGCAAAAAAAATACAAGGAACAAGGTGTACCTCATTTTGCCTTTTCACGGTGGCTGATTATCCAGGCATGATTTACATAATAAACCAAGGAAAATATTTTACAGGTGGCGTTTTCCAACAGCAAATGACTTCGGATCAGAGATTATTCCTGCTTCAGCCTCAGAATATTACATAAAGGTTTGTTGAACCTCTTCTGAATGAATGATGCACACTATTATGCACAAACTTTTCCTTTTTGATCTTAGATGTAAGTATGATTTAGTAGCTTGTGTATACTATAGCACTATAGCCCATAGGCCCATCCTTGTACTATATAACATATATATACACACAAATTTATTATATATATATATATATAGATATATAGATGTGCATGTATGCAGAATTGCAGATGTATATATGCATCATATATGTACATTGTATATACAGACATATATGTAGTCGCCTTTCAGGGTTCCATGCTGAAGATCAGCAAAAGTATTCAGGTTGCTGGTTTGTTGGCTTTCCGAGTTCTTGATGTTCTTATACTGCGCTTGAGCTTCCTTTAGCTTGTATGATTGTGTTCTTGTTCTTCCTCGTCTAGTCCTTCTCAGTCATGGCAGATCTTTCATAAAGGGCAAATTGCATGAAAAAGTAACGTACTTTAACTTGATTCCTATTTTGGTAGCGTACTTTCAAAACTTCCATTTTGGTACCTAAGATGTAAAGTTTTAAACATTTAAGTACCCGGGTAACCGGTTGAAGCATTAACCGGTTACCATGCTGATCTGGCGAGTGATAGAATGAAATTGGGTTGAATAGCAAATAATACTGAGTTAGATACCACATCACTCGCCACATCAGCATGGTAACCCGGTTAATGCTTCAACCGTTTACCTAGGTACTTAAATGTTTAAGACTTTACATCTTAGGTACCAAAATGGAAGTTTGGAAGTACGTTACCCAAAATAGGAATCAAGTTAAAGTATGTTACTTGTTCATGCAATTTGTCTTTTCATAAATGCCTTTGATTACTTAGTTGAGAGTGCATATTAGACGCGGTGAAGGTACATATTAACCTCACTAATAGAAATTAGATCCAAAGATCAAGCTTCATATGTCAAATCATCAACAGAGGAAGACTCAATGTCAGGTTGACTCGATGCCATAAACCTGGGTTGAAGGATGTTGACATTTGATGATGACATTCTATACTCTCTACTATCTATGGATTCAGAGATCTATGCGACAACAAAGAAATGTGCCAAATTTGTGGGAGATCTATGTCTGTTTCACCCAACACTCTGTTACTCAAGCATGTTATTGACGTTGTCTGGATGACCAGTCTTTTCGGTGGTATAATATGTATTTTAAGCAGCAAGTAGATAAGGTGCAAGAATATTTACTACTCCTTCTATCCCAAAAAAAAAAACTCCATGATGAAAAAGGTATACAGTACTAGAAATGTGTAATTATTACATTTTTTTAATTAACTAATTAAAATTTTATCCTTAAAAAAGAGGGAGTAATGAATTTCTCCATATCATAATTAAGGGTATAATTGGAAAGTAGACACTTATTTTGAAAGTAGACACTCAAAATAAAAAAGACGCTTATTTTGGGACCGAGGGAGTATTTAGTTCGAACAGAAGGTTCTTCTACAAACTTAGGTTGACTACACATTTTGACATTTATTGAAGGGTTGTCATATGTATCTCCCTTTCCTGAAAATCCATCAGCAAGATCACTAAATATGTGCAAATGTATGTCAAGACTACATTATCAGCTTTTTTTCCATTTACGTTACAGATTTCCTTGATCAAAGAAGAAATAATAAAGTTTACACTGAGCAGAAATGCATGCAAATGTAAGTCTATTACAATTAAAGGTGCAAAATTTCATTTGCAGGCATTTTTATTTAATGACTACTGGGAGGACATTGGTACAATCAGATCTTTCTTTGAAGCAAATCTTGCGCTTACTGAACATGTGAGTTGTATTCCTACTTCCATTGTGATTTAAGCTTATGTCATTGTATTCATTCGATAAGTTACTAAGTTATAAGGAAGCTGTAGACTTTGAAACCCTGAATAACTCAGAATATGACCCACTCTGCCTATTCCCTTATCTTAAAAGGTAAATATAGGGAAGCTGGATTCTTTTCTTATTTATTTCTCTCTCAGGTCTAATACATATATTTATACTATACAACATGACAGAGAAACTTCGTGATTCTCTCCCTCGAATAAGGTAACCAAAATTAGGAGTTTATGTGAGATCTCCTAATTCTTCAAATTAATCAAGTCCATTACGATTATGCCCAATAGTAAAGAAAGAAGAAGAAAAAGAGACATCTCATGTTCATACAAAGAAGATATGACCAGTTTAACATTTATATGTTGAACATAGACACATAAATATCACATCACACACTGTTGATATTGCAATAAAGTAAATTATCTCGTATTTGGAGGCATATATAACTATATTTTTGCTTCTGATTATGAGTTACAGCCATCACGGTTTAGCTTCTATGACGCAACAAAGCCAATGTATACCTCTAGGAGAAATCTGCCACCATCGAATGTTGATAATTGCAAGGTTAGTAGAGATAATATTCAATATTCTTCATATGCTTTGAACATGTGATATCATTCAAGTTGCATTACTTCACAAAAATAACAATTTTGTTAGACTAGGCATTCAAAAACTCTATTCTTAAGTTTCTCTAAGTTTATACTAAAAAAAATGGTCATACCTAGCAACAAGAACAATCGATTTCAATGTTGACATAGACCAATGGATTTCAATGCAACTGCTGTGATTTGGTTTCAATGTCAATACACTTTTTCTGCATTGTATAAATCGGTTCCTGAAATCCGACCAATTTCTGTTTTCTGTAATAAATTCTACTGTATGTCCTCACCCTCTTCCTTCACATATTGTTACACAGATTGTTGACTCAATCATATCACACGGTAGTTTCCTAACCGATAGCTTCATTGAGCACAGCGTTGTTGGCATCCGATCCAGAATTAATTCTAATGTCCACCTAAAGGTTTGTCGTTGCATTCAAACTAGTAGTCTTGAGCTCCTAACCATGTTTGAGCTCGCAGGAGGAACATAAGCTCTAAGCCTCTAAAGGTTGACTGAAATGCTAATTTTCTACCATTACATTTTCGTCTTTAGACTAACATATTTCTTATTTCCCTTCAATCTACACCAATCCATTAACCCAGAACTTTGTCTTCCAGGTTTAAGTGGACACCACTTTCTCATGCTTCATGATAAAAGACTAAAAGCATTGTTTGTTATACATAACCAATACAGGACACTGTGATGCTTGGTGCTGATTACTACGAGACGGATGCTGAAATTACATCTTTGTTGGCCGAAGGCCGTGTTCCTATTGGAATAGGAGAAAATACAAAAATCACGTACAAAATCTAAAACTTCAGTCCGCTAAGTATATGTTTACCTATTATTTTTCTCGATAATAACTCATTAATATTATATTTTGCAGAGGCTGCATCATTGACAAAAACGCCAGAATCGGAAAGAACGTAGTCATCGCAAATTCAGAGGTAAGCCCGACGAATACTATGGTAATTGTCTAATTGAATGAATATGGTGGATGTCACAAAATCTGAATGAATAGTCAGGTACAACCAATTCGTACTTATCTCCATTTATAGGAGCATGGTGAGAGTTATAACCTTATAATGCCAGAATAGCTCTAGATAGTTCACTATTTTTCCAAAAGATCAGGAGCCTATTAATTCATGGACCATGGTAGAATGTCAGGAACTAATGAAATTTCTACTTACACGTTGAATTACAGGGCATACAGGAGGCTGACAGATCTTCAGAAGGATTTTACATCCGATCAGGCGTTACAATCCTATTAAAGAATTCAACAATTAAGGACGGATTAGTGATATAATGTTTTTTTTTCTTCTCCTGTTTTGAGGATGAAAATGAAGAATCGTCAAAGATCAACATTTCTAAGCAGAGAAAAGGATCAACAGGCTTGTATCACCACCAAGCTCTGTAAATGTGAACACATTGAAACTTTTCTGTATCTTAAAATAAAGAAATTTTGGTTCAATGCTGTAAGCATGTGATTTATAGCCCTGGACAAACAAATCTATGGTGAAGTACCGCATGATCTGCTTCATCAGAAGTACAGCATTCCCTCCAAAAGTCCAAACCATAACTCGGGAAGTTTGAATTCACAAATAGTTTAATTTTAGTCATTAACTATTAGTCAAATATCTACAATATCGCTGTTGGAATTTGGAGAAGCTTAGCTGGCCATAATTGTGGCATGAATATTTTTAATGCTTACTATGAAGAAATAAGTAATTTTAACTTCATTTATTTCTTAAAAAAGATGTGTTGAGGTTAATATGAGACATCCCAAAATAAAAGTTGCCGAAACTTTTCTATTCTAAGAGCGGATACTTGCACACATCTGGTTTAGGCTCACTTCAATACTAATAGAGTTGAAGATTCTCCAAATCCGAGCGAACAATGGTCATATACCATGTTCTTTCATGCCATGTGATGATGACTTTAACCTGGTTTCTTTTAAACCAAGAGAAAAAGCCAGATAATATTGCAACACAAGGAAAATAAACAAGCAATATGGAGAAATCAGGAGACTGATAGGCAAGAGCACCATGGAAAATGATATTGAAATTAAATTACATCAAAATGGCACAACACTAATGCTTATAGAAACAGCTCATCACAGTGAAACATCAATTCATTTTCATATCTTTGCAACACAAATCGCTCCTCTGATGTTATTATGCTCGTAACAAGACATTCACTTTCTGAGAATGGTTTTCTACCTGTTCTTCCAGCTCGATGTAGATAGTGTACTGCATCTTTTGGTAAATCGAAGTTATATATGTGGGTCGTATCAGGCAGATCAACGCCTCTACCTGCTATATCGGTTGCCACCAGAAGGTAAGCTCCTCCTTGTCTCAGTTCCTGTTTTCAATTATTTAAATAGGTGAACTAATACCCTTTTTTGTGGTAATCGTGGGCGTCTAGACTATCTTACACGCACCTCGACTAAAATCGCATGGGCCCAGTGGCCCTAAGAGGACTAGAACTGGTGACCACTGGGGAGCAAACTCATCTAATCTCCCTCTTTTCCCAATAATACCCAGGCTTATTCAACAAGATAACAAATAAAATAAAAAGTAAATAGAATGAACAAGGGTAATTTGGTAAGCATATTATCTTTACTTACAGAGAATGATGCTGCTCTCGAGTTGAAATTTATTTTTTCCTCTAATAGCAGAATTTCGTGACCCCCTATGTGTGAATTCTTCAGAGCATCAATTAGAACAGTAGTAGAAGGAGCATTTCCTGCCTTCTTGGACTTCTCAGACTGCAAAATAATTAATACATATATTTGATTAATCAGTGACAGCAATATCTATGGCATTAACAGAAAACAAGGAGCAAACTTGTACAGATATGTATATGACTCAAGTCTGTCCTTAACTCTTCAACCCTGATTAGAATCTACTAAACCAAGTTATAATCAGTATGTCCAATTCATCTTCCAAATATATCTGTCCAACATTGCAGTATTTTAGGAAGGGCAGAAATGGTTCGTACATTGAGGAAGCACGCCATTTGTGTTGTTAAAGCCCAAGAGGATTCACCTCTTCATAATTGCTTCCGGGGTTTTTTGGTGTTACAAGATCTTTTTGGTTCTATTTTTAGCCCACCCCAACTATCTTGTGGAAACAGATTTGTTGTTTGCTACATTTAATCTAAATCATCAATGCATAAAACAATCTAAATTGCATACCAGCAAGAACCATGGTGCCATGCTGAAAAAGTCAACCCAAATCAAAACTGAAATTGTCATGTAGCACTAACCTGTAGATTAACAAAAATTATGGCAGACTGAGGTGCATCAGATTGCAACAAGGACAACAATGCAGAATGTCTTTCGCTTCTACTACATATCTGATATCCATAGAATGTTATTAGCACAGTGGCAATAACGATTTTCAGATTTTAGGAGCAAGAAAAGGTATAACCTGTTAAAGAAGAGGGGTGAGATCCTATAATTTATACGGGCAAAGAGAACAACAACTTTAAGTTGCAAGATACTCTCTCCATACCGGAATAAGTTTACACATTTCTATTTAAGTTTGTCCCAAAATAGGTGTCCACTTTCAAATATATAATTACAATTACTAAGCTTCCAACTCTACCTTTAATTGATGAGATGAGGAGAGAGAGAGAGAGAGAGAGAAGGTTTGACTCTATCATCAAGGGCCAAAACGTCAATCAGTTAATTAAAATGTGTAACAATTACACATTGCTTAAATTGTTTTATCTTTTTATGGTGAATATTTATTTTGGGACAGATGGTGTAAGTAATTTAAGCCAGGAAACAGTTTTGCAGCATAGAGTTGCTTTCCTGATTCCATAATTTACTCACCAAAAATCTGTGATGTATACGTGGAGGCATAGGTTGAACCGGATTTGCGTGAATATGGACAACATCGGCCTGTTATAACAAATTAAATGAATATGATATAATGAACCAGTGATGAATTGTGTTAAGAATATGAACAGGACGACCTCATTCAGCAAACCTTGGTCCACTTCTGCTGTATACAGTCGTATAAAAACCGTCTGTGCTGGGGGATTGACGCACTAGCAAAAATTGATTGACGATTGTTGATTGACGAGTAGGATATCAATAGCTTTCGGAGAGAGCTAACTTGATGCGAAGAATTAAACATGAAATCAACCTAAAAAAGATCAAATTAGATGCTAATCAAGTTTGTCAAGGAAACAACACCTGAAAAAGCGTTGTTATCATATATTGTCATCGAGGCATTAAATTTTTAATCCAATTTTTGAGGTCATTGTGCGACATGGTAACATTGTAAATTCCTTATCTTTGGACTCCACAATCATGGAGTTAACAACCAGAGAGCTGAATGATAGTTTCCTAGTAACCAATAGATACAGACGGAACTACACTTGACAGAACAGCAAATACAGATATCGCTGCCAGAGTAAAAGTAAATACCTCATCTATCACTAGCACGCGCATTGATTCTAGTTTGATCGTCTGCTTCTCAAGCATTTGGCATAAGCTTCCCAGAGTTGCAACAATTATTGTAGGGGGTTCAGACTGCAACAAAATAGTATCGTAAAAAAATTTTGTGGTAGTACGTCTATTCTATCTTAACAAAATTCTTTCTTGATGAAGCTGCATGATACTTTACACCACCCAGTGAACCCTCAATCCTAATTCCCAAGCTTATTGGAGAAAATGAAATACAAATATGAAGTACATGTTTGAAAGTAAAATTAGATGGAGAGGAAGAAAGATAGGATCATCATAATAGAAGAGAGGGAAGGAGGGAGGGATAAAGATTTGAGTGACCCATCTGAAGTGAATAATGAAATGCTGAATAAATGCAGTTAGAAATGTGTTGAACATAAAAACATCCTAGATAATAAAAGGATCCTCAAAACTTATCACCGAAATACACAAGAACAAATTTTCCAGGACCTACAAATGGTAGAATTGATTCACATCAATCCAAGCTGCTGGAAAAATTTCCAGCTTTGCAAACTCAAGGTTATTTTATGTAGAATATCTACAAGAAAATAACCGACACTACCACCTTAGAATCTGACTCGAGTTTCATGTTTCACTGCAGTCACTGAGGGTATGATACACATGTGCAATGTAAAAATCTATACCTTTAACCAGCTCTTCTGCCTTCTTAAAGTTCCTCCGTCTAGAAGTGCCATAATAGTGCAGGACTTGTCTTCCAAAACTGGTTGATCCGACTTTGCAGCCAGCATGCGAGCAACTTTTGCAACCTTTGATAACAGGAAAAGGAAATATCAGGATAGTACCGTTCATTTCCATATTACATGCTTCAGTGAATGGAATCACCACCAAATAATCTTACTTGCATGCCCAGCTCCCTAGTTGGTACCACAATCAGTGCTTGTACTGCTGATCTTTGAGTGTTTATTACCGAAAATATCAATAACAGGTATGCCAAGGTTTTTCCGGAACCTGTCTGTAGAACCAAATAATAAAATATCAGCATCAGAACTTCAGGGAAGTAGGTAATATTACAGTAAGGCCTGACCTCCAAATCCCCCACCAAACCCCCAATTCCCCTATAAATCTACGCAACTATAATATATGTAAACTACAACAGAGGTGCTTGTCCAGCTTAGTTGGCAAGCTACATGGTCCTTGATGGTATGACTCTGGGTTCTACTCCTATTGGTGTGCCTATTTTCATTTTGATTTTTACATTTTGAGAAGGGCTAATGAAGGATCTTTACTGGGCCGGCTCATTACCATTGTTCCCCTAATACATATTCGAACTTTTACTTGAGATTTTCGTTGTATTTAAAAGATCTTTGAATTGGTTTTATGGTTGAAATTAGTTCATCTTACTTATATACAATAAATGAACTTTATCTTGTGAAGGAGCCTGTGGAGGTAGTAAAAAGTTCCTAATCTTGAAATTTTTAATAATTTTCTTTTATATTTTTAAGCCAACAGCAGTTGATTTTATTGTAAAAAGAATCTTACCTGCTTTGTTTTTTCTTTGTTCTTCATTGAGTCCATTTTAGAAATTTAATAATTTGAAATTCATTGTCATCGCTTCAAATTTCTTTCTGTTGCTTCAAACTAAAACTTATGTATTCAAATCCATAAGATCAACGTTCAAGAACGTTGTAGGGTTATAATATTGTTTCCTTTTGAACTTTGAATCCTTGAGTTCGTTATGAGAGTAAAATGAATATTGCATTATTGAAGGAATGAAGTACTTCTATAACCACTTGGTACTTCGTTTCAGAACAAGTAGTGTACTCGGTAAACTCCAAAAAAAAAACACATTGTAATTGGATATATCGTAAGATTTTTGCCTGAGTTTAACCAAACTAAGTTTAGTAAACCCAAGTAGATTACTTTCTACTCTTTTAACCATCATCCTTGTTATTTTAATTTTCAAACTAACCATACTCCTATAAAAATACTAAAAACATCCTATCCGTATTCAAACACACTGTGGACACTTTTGATGTGAACCATATTTTAAACTCTTGCCCAAATCTTTTGCAATTAAAGAGTCAAAGTATCAAAAACATTTTTGAAAAATTGCGAACACATTTGACGCATTGTTCAAAATTTGTCAGATACTACTTTGCAAAGGAGTTCAAAATATGATCTATCACAAGTCTCATAATTTGACAAACACAATTCAGGTCAAAAGTGCTCACAGTTTGTCAGATACAGTTTGTGACAAAAAAATTGCATAGGTGTTCACAGGTTCTAAAAAGTAATAGTGGTCAGAATATGATTTGCCAAAAGTGCTTACAATTTGTCAAATACAATTGGGAAAAGTTCAGAAAAACCCAACAAACTATCCCATTTTGAATGATCAAGTACCTGAACTATTTTTTTGAATGAAAAAACATTAAACTTTCTCATTTTGGATGATGAAGTCCCTGAACAATTTTTTTAATGAAAAAACAATAAACTTTCTCATTTTGGATGATTAAGTCCCTGAACTATTTTTTTGAATGAAAAAATCCTTAAACTTTCTCATTTTGGATGATTAACTCCCTAAACATTTTTTTTGAATAAGTAAACCATCGAACTTCTAAAAATTGGTTACCCACATCTTTTAATTAAAAAAACTACTTGTAACTGACTAGGAATGTTTTAAAGTAAAATAAAACTAAATCAGTTTTGCCATGGCCAAACCTTACACGATTAAAACCTTTTGCAAACAACGGTATTGCTCCCCCTTGCCGCTCCCCCTTGCCCCAACGGTGTTCGTTCTTCATATCGTTTAACACGCTTTTGGCCCCTGCCATTGATCTCCCTCTTTTTTATCTATCAAAAGAGGGAGAATAAAAGATAACCGGTTACAAGTAGCTTTTTTTGGGTTAGAAGGATGTATGAAACCAAATTCTAATAGTTCAATGGTTTAATTTATTGAAAAAAATGTTCAGGGACTTAATCATCCAAAATGATAAAGTTTAATGGTTTTTTCATTCAACTTGAAAAAGTTTAATGGTTTTTTCATTCAAAAGAATAGTTCAGAGACGTGATCATTCAAAATGAGAAGGTTTAATGGTTTTTTCATTCAAAAAAATAGTTCAAGGACTTAATCATTCAAAATGGGGTAGTTTGTTGGGTGTTTTTGAACTTTTCCCAATACAATTTGAAGTAAAAGATCTTGGGAGGATATCTCAGGTCATATTAGCATTTAATGTGAGTGCGAATTTAATGTAATTAGCTGTAAATGTGTTGCATATAATCAGGGAATCCCTGATTGATAAGTTTGATAATTTAGGAGTAATTTCCTCAATCTTTCCATTTATAACTCCTAGAATTATGTTGACTCGAGTCTATATATTCTGTAATTTCAAGATCAGAGAAATAAGGAGAATTCATTCCTTAAGCCTCTTTGTTCAAAAGATTTGTGCAAAGTGTTCATAAATCATAGCAATGCTTATCCTATTACTTTTACAAGGATGATTATTTTGAAACAAATGCAAGTACGATAGCTAACAAGTTACATAATTTACTTGGGTTAACTAACTTAACTGGGGTTAACTGAGAACAACCTGACAAGCATAATTCCATATACCATGTTTTTTCTTAGATTTTACGAAGTATAATCATCATTTTGAAACAAACTGCCAAGTAAGATGGTTACAAAAGTAATTCGTTCATTTTTTAAAATCTCCACATAGTTTTGCTTTAAGTTATGAAAAATCAAGTTCAGCTTTACACTACTAAAAAAGTGGAAGATATTATATGATAATGTTCATTCTTTTACCATAGGGATAAATTTGTTACCATAGCCATTTGAAATTCGTGATCAATCTTAAGAAACGTCATAAAATCCTTTATAGGGTGAAGTCCTATACTAGCACAGATGGTGGTTTTTATCTTTCTTTTAAACAACACAGAGAAGAAAGCTCTAAAGTGCATCGAAAAGCAGATGGGCAAGAAAATATGCATTAATGGATTTCATATTCTTTGTCCTTGACGAAAATAATTGCTAGCCAATTGTGTGATATAGATAGTATATGTATATGCCATGCTATCGCTACGGCTTGCCTATATATGCATCCACCAAATCATCATTAACTAAAGTTCCAAGTTAAATATATCACATATCACCTGGGCATGAAGAATACAATCACGACCAGAGAATAGGACTGGTAGAGCTTGTCTCTGAATCTCTGTAGGCATAAGGTACCCGAGTTCTTCAACCCTGAACCATGGTCAAGCAAATCAAACAACATACTTGAAGCATTGGTTAAAGCATGCAACTTTCAGCACCAAATTCCGTACTGACAACTCATCAAGTTTGCAAGTGTGCCCCTATTCATTGCTATAAAAATAGCATCATAGGATAAAGAGACTAAGGGGCTGTTTACCAAAAGCTTATTGGATAAGCGCTTCCGGAAAAAGTCACCACCCTCACTTACCTTATCAGGTAACATTATCAGCCATCAAAAAGGGATTGTTGGTAAGCGCTAACCGGGTAAAAGTCTCCACCCTCACTTACTGGGTAAGATTTTCGGTCCTTTGTCATGCCTCTTACCGGGGTAAGATTCTTGGTCTTTGCCATGTTCACCTAGTAAGATAAATGACCTACTAACCACTCACCCAATAAGCGTTTGCTAAAAGGCCCCTAACTTATAATTGGGAAGTAGTCAAATAATTCAAGAAAAGTAACAAAATGGTGAATATGAATTGTTCAACTCTATAGATCATTCATGGATGGAATACGATGTCACACAATCAGCCAAATATAAAATTATTCATGTATAACAAGCTTAACTTCATGTTCTTATCATGGTAATACAAATGAAAAGAACACGAAAAGCTAAGGGACCTGCTGATTCTTGTTTTAATTATGAGAAATGCCAAAATCCAAGTTTCAAATGATCGGTAGTATTGATCAGGCCACAAAGTGCTATTTCAGTTTATCTTGAATGAAGAGATTGTGCAACAAAATTCACACTAAGGGGCCGTTTACTAAACGCTTACCCGGTAAGTACTTACCAGGCAATTTTCCTCACTGGATGAACGTGGCAAGAGCCAATAATCTTACCCGGTAAGAGCGATGATAAGGATGGAGAGTCTTACCCGGTAAATGAGGGTGACGACTCTTACTTGGGTAAGCGCTTACCAGGTAAATTGTTGCATAGGATACGTTTTGATGTACTACAATCTTATCTGATAAAATACATTATAGTGTTAGACTCTTACTGTAAGCACTTACCGGGTAAGCATTTGGGTAAACGGCCCCTAAATGACAGTCCAATTGGCTTATCTTTTCTTCTTATACATAGACAAGCCTTTGAAAACATTGTTGTTTAAAGATGTTAGCTAAAGAGACCAAAAAGAATACTTTATTATTGAAGATGAGAAACAAAACAGCATATAGAGCATATAGTGGATGGGTCAACATCCCAAGAGGAAAAACATGCTGCACTATAAATACGATGGAAGATGAAGACTGACTCGCCATAAGAGGGGAAGACACTTCCCACTAACCTCCTATATCTCCTTTGATATTGAAGATGGCCACCCATCTTGACAGAGCTTTACAATTGGTATCCTAGTAGAATCTGAACATGCTCTCTAGCCAGATAACAATGACATTATATGACATAGGCAGATTCCCTGAAGGGATTCTAACCACCACAAGTTCCCAATGAGTACTTGAGAGTACTGAAATCTTTGTCTGAACTCCCATGGATAAATACATTAGCCCTATAATCCTCTCTAAGTCATCAATAGTGATGGTATAGTCAGCAGAAAATACTGCAATGATCTTCCTACCATGTTGATTCCTAAATAAAACATGGGTAATCACAAGAGCTACAACCCGAGCCAAACCTGTCCCATGCTTCATGGACTAACAAACCAAAGTCAAGAAGCATGTATGACAACATACTCCGACAACAAAACCTAAGGTAAATAAACCACAAGGGTTTTGTGTATTGATTTGATTTGATATGTAACCTAATTAATATCGGTCTCTATATATAGAGATACTAATTACATAGAAGTGTCCTCTACATTATACTAATTGCACTTAAGTACATTAAGTCTAATACGCCCCCATAAGTTAAGGACGGGTAACGACCTGTAGCTTGGATCGTAAGAGTAGAAATCTAGGAGTTGGCAACGGCTTCGTGAAAATATCAGCAATCTGCTCTTTTTGTGGAAATAAATTGTACAGAAGGTCTCCTTGAGCAACCTTTTCTTTGACAAAATAAAAACCAACTTCCACATGCTTTGTTCGTGCATGAAAGACCGGGTTGGCTAATAGATAGGTTGCATCTGGATTGTCACACCACAAGATAGAAGTTGATGGGGTATGAACGCCAAGTTCACGAAGGAGAGCTTGAAGCCAGGTAAGTTCAGCTACAGTATCAGCCAGAGCTTTGTATTCAGAACAGTGTGTTGTTTACGAGCGGTCCAAGATACAAGGTTAGAACCAAATAGATGGAAAATCCCTCCGTGAACCGACGATCATCTAGACACCTAGCCCAATCAGCATCGGAGAAGGCTTGGAGAGATTGATCAGCATCGGAGAAGGCTTGAAGTGATAAAGTAGATGCCTGACGAATGAGTAAGCCACAGTCAACAGTGCCCCAAAGATAGCGTGGAATCCGTTTGACCGCATACCAATGTGATTCAGTAGGGGCATGCATGAACTGACACACTTTATTAACTGCAAAAGCGATATCTAGCCAAGAAAGAGTAACATATTGAAGAGCACCAATGACCTGTTTGTATTTAACTGAGTCAGAAAAAGCAGGACTGTCAGCTAATGATAGCGAACAGGACGAGGTCATGGGGGAAGGCATGGGCTTAGAATCTGAGGGGCCTGCTCATTGTAAGAGCTCCAAAATGTACCTCTTTTGAGAAAGAATGATGTCTAGTCTTTGAGGGACAATCTCAATACCCAAGAAGTAGTTTAAAGGGCCTAGATCCTTTACCACAAAAGTTGAGCCCAGTTGTTGAACGATGGCGTCGATAGCAGCATGATTGTTTCTCGTGATGATGATGTTGTCAACACACACTAAGATGTATAAAAGAGTGCCAACATGACTAGAAATAAACAGTGAAGGATCGGTCTTGGAGCCTACAAAGCCAAGGATATGAAGAGCCTTGGAAAGAAGGTGAAACCAAGCCCGTGGGGCCTGCTTAAGGCCGTAAATGGACTTGTGGAGTAGACAAACATGATCTGATCATTGTGGGTCAATAAAGCCCGAAGGTTGCTTCATATATATTGTTTCAGTAAGGTGGCCATGAAGAAAAGCATTTTGAACATCAAGTTGCCTGAGCGACCAATTCTGAGAAACCGCAAGCGATAAAACAACCCTGATGGTAGTGGTCTTGACAACAGAACTGAAGGTTTCGTGAAAATCAATGCCATGTTGCTGATAGTTGAAAACCTTTTGCGATGAGTCTCGCTTTGTAACAAGTGATGGAACCTGTCTTGTCTCGTTTTATCCTGTAAACCCACTTACAATCAACAATATTAGTATCATGAGCACGAGAACTAGAGACCACGTGCCGTTTTTAACAAAAGCGGAGTACTCCTCGGCCATAGCTTGACGTCATTCTGAAGATTTGTTAGCAATGGTAAACGAGATTGGTTCAATAGATGTCGTGGAGTTGGTGGGAAGATTAGTAGAAGGATTGAAGGGAACCCGTTGTTTGGGGTTGGGCCGCAGGTTAGGAGGACGTTGTCTAGGAGGAGGAAGCGGAGGCGGTGGTGGTGATAGAGAGAAGTGGATGATAATGGAGATGAATCACTGGCATCTGGATCATGGTGTAAAGGGGAAGTGGATTCAGGGGAAGACTGAGAGATGGGCGAAAAAGTATGTGGTGAACTGGGCAGATCAGGTATTACAGGAGATGGAGCGACAGGTAGGAGTGTTGCCGATTACCACGTGAGGTGATATCGAGCAGGTGTATAGACATGATGATGTAGGTGTGGCGACAGCAGCGGACGGCAGATTCCAGCAGCAGTGGCAGCAACGGACAGTCAGATTAACAGAGGCAGCGGCGGCAGCGGACGATCAGCCTTGTAGTGGCGTGACCAAGAGGGCATGTAGGGTTTTGGTAACTTGGCTCTAATACCGTAATAAACCACAAGGGTTTTGTGTATTGTTTTGATTTGATATGTAACCTAATGATAATCGGTCTCTATATATATATAGAAACTAATTACATAGGAGTGCCCTCTACATTATACTAATTGCACTTAAGTACATTAAGTCTAATAAAGGTTGATTTGTATAAATCCTTTCCTCCTCAAGAACTACATTAAGAGATGCACTTTTTATATCAAGCTGAAGAAGTGGCGAATGATGAGTGATTGACTAAGCAATTACTAAAGAATCTCCTTCTCTTGGATGAGGAACGTTGATACTGTGGAACATATATTCAAAATCAATCCCAAAGTATCCAAAATTTTGTTCCAATACTTAGATAAATCCAATGGCTACACATATGAACATTAGTTCAAATCATCCCATAATTTAATTAAGCCAATTGGTCCATCAGTTCTATCCATCCTAGAAACATCATCGATCCCAAGCATTCAAGTTAGACATCTGTAAACATCAATTGTTCAAAAAGATATAGATAGGAAATGAAAAGTTTGAGAGACCTGGAAACACAAAGGGAAAATACTTTTTTTTATGATTTTCACATAATCATGATCTACAATTTACAGCCAGATGCAATTTAAGCAATGTGATTGCATCTACGAATAATCTGTCATTTTATTCGACACTAGGACTATTTATACACATCTCCCTAGTTTGTTTATTTCAGATAGGGCTGTTTGGCAGTTGTTGAATAGTTTGGTGCAAAATAATCAAGTGGTCAGAATGATTAAGAGGCTCTTATAATATAGTGCAAAATGAAATATAATTGTTTGGTAATTGTTTACAATGAAATTAGGGAGCTTAATGGTTAAGGGAGGTCCATGATACAAAATCTTTCAGAGGATTTTAGAACCATTAAGAAGCAGACTTTTTTTAACGATTCAGAGACTGCCTCTTAATGGAACTATTAAGAGGTAAAGAAACACCCCTTTACTCAATTTTGCTACACTTGTCTCCTATTTGGACTACTTGAACTGTTTCGCATTTATGGGCTTCTTTAGTATTTCATTTTCACCCTAAAGTAAGTTAACTTCCAACTGATAGGGATTGGTACATGAATGCTTTCATGCATTCATTATTGCATCTACAGTAAAGCTTTCAGTTAGATTGACAGTTGCTACATATTAGTCAACATAATCATTTGATGTGAGTTTTGTTCTTGATGTTCATCTTGCTGAGGCTTTTGTATCAATGTTACTATGCCTGCATAAACTTGCACCTGTTGGTCTACAAAGAATGAGTGTCAATTATCTCGAAAGTGTTCCCTCATTTCACCTCCTACCAAGGCTACCTCCATAACATCCCTGGTACTTCTGTTTCATGTTCACTTTTATGAGAAATTGAGAATTCCACATTCATCTCCAAATGGGTCTATTTTTGCCCCCTTTTGAGTATACCTCGCATATATAGAAATCAAGCACTTCGTGACACTGCATGGTCGTGATGCTAAAGCATATCTATACTTGAAATTTAATCCATAATTTTCTTAAATTTGATTCTATACTACAAAACATAAACAGACTAACATGTACCACGTAAAGATATTTAAATGCAACAGTGTCTCTTAAGTGTCACCAACCAACCGATTGTATAAAATATCCTGTGCATCTACGATCATCGTTAAGGTCAGATGAAAATTGCTCTAACGAACAACAGATTTCTGAGATTCAAACCATAAGTAGGTGGTAATGTGGCCTCTTCATGTACTTCTAATATTTAAAATGCAATAATGTTTCCTGATGTTTAGCACACTACAACTTCGAGGAAAATGATTATCTAATTATTTGAAGAGAAGATTACATGTTTAGGCATATTACTACATTTGAGGCAGACCTATATAGTACCCACTGTGGTCAAAAACCACGATAGTCTTCTCTATTGCAGAAATGGTTGGACACCAACTTATATTGGTAGAAGCACAGTTCTGGTTGCCTCCATATGCACCATCTTTTTGTGTACCTTTCTCTTATAGTAATGTTTCTGCTTAATTCATTGAAAATTTAAATGACAGCTATAAGGCTCTGATCAACTATTTTTCAGATCATTAAAAATGGATTTCAAGTGTCTGAACAGAGTAGCTTAGATTTGTAGCTTATGCCACAGCCCACGGGTTAGGTTTTCTCATCTTTAATCTCTTTCAGATTACATATTACGTTTTAGATATTATCTTGACTTGTCATGAAATCAATAGCTGCAAATAATCCCACCTCCACTTCAATATAAAATGGCTTTTTATTGCTTCTTCTTTCTTTCTTTTTTGCATTTCATTCACTTGCTGGTTTTCTCTTTTCCTGTTAATCTAATTTGTCAATGGTGTTTTAGAATGCAAACCTAGAATCACAGTCACAGCAAATACCATAATTTTAAAAATCAGGCCTCTGATATTCACAAATAAAATGCTATATTTCTAGGAGGCATGGTTGTTAGAGTCCTACGTCGGCTAGACTTGAACCATTTTTATTTCATATATGTTATAACATCCCTTCTCTCCTTGAAGGCTCTTTTTGAAGGGTAATCTATTGGGTTCCACTTATTCTCACATGAGACTGGTTGGTATCATTTCTTAGGTCAACCACTCTAGATATTCGAATATGTACTGGGCTAGCCCCCACCGGTCTTGCCCCCACCCGTCTTGCCCCCTCTCGACATTCTGGGATAATATGCGCCCGTCTAGCCTCTTTTGTAGGGGTGTTAGAGTGCCAATTTCAGCTTGAACCACTTCTATTTAATATATATATTGGAACATCCTGCTCTCCTGAAGGGCTCTTTATTAATCTAATCGATTCCACTTACTATGGCAATGGTTTCATCTCGATGTCATGGTAAACAGAGAGAAAACAAATCTATTAAGAAAACAAATAATATGAATGACAGGTAACCTGCGCAAGATATGATCAGGCACGCAACCTTCGCAGATATCCCGAAGAGGAATGTGGTCGTCTTCTTCGTTTGTTGATAGAGAGGACGACGATGTAATTGGAGAAATAGAAGTTCGCTGACTGTATATGGAGCTCTTCAAAGCTCGGGTTGAAGAGCGTTCAACGGAAGGGGATTTGATGAGAAGCGTGGGAGGGATAGTAATGAGGGCTTTATCACAGAGAAAAGGGAACTTCCATGAATGAACCTGCAACAGCATATCGGTGGAAGAAGAGACCATCAATGGGCGACGGATAGAAGATGAATTGATTTATAGCTTTGTTATTCGTGAATCCACTCCCACACTTGTCATTTTTTTTCTTTTCTTTTTTACTTCACTAAATTTAAAAATACGTATTAACATTATTGTATTTTATAAAACTAAATGCATGAAATACTCGTAATTAAAGGTGTGCAAAAAATCAATCGATCTAATTGGAATCAGGGTGTTCAAAAATTCGACCAACCCGATTAATCCAACCCAACTCAAAGCGAAATAACCCAACCCGATGTCTAATCGAGTTGTAAAATTTTCAAACCGTAGGTATTGGGTTGATATTGGGTTACTATTATTTGAACTCAATCCAACCCGATGAACCCGATATCCTTTTATTTCTTGGATTTAAAATGATTGTTGAATTTCTATTAATATATACATTAAACAATTACACTATCATGTATGTTTTTCATATACATATATTTTCAATTTATTAATATCTCTATATAACTCATTCATATATATGTTCAATAACTGTGAACATATATATATATATAATTGAGAAAATTAACTGAATGTGATATACGTAAGAAATATGGATAAGTTGTATCAAATGGTTGATGATGAAAAAGAAATTATGAGTAGATAAATAACATATACAAGATTAGAAGAATATTTTAATATACCAAAGTATCAACCCGACCAACCCGTACGGGTTGGGTTGGGTTGGGTTGCATTTTGGTTTGGGTTGGGTTGGGTTAAGATTTTTCCAGGCCGCAAGCATTGGGTTGGGTTGTTCAAATGTGTTCAACCCGATTAACCCAACCCATGAGCACCCCTAATTGGAACCGACTGATTTAATTAGAACCGATGATTAGATCAATTGTAATTGGATCGGATCGGATTGAAATTTTCAACATCCAATTTAGATCTGTCGGTTCTTGGATGGCAGTCCAGAACCGACCAAAACCGAACCGAACCGAACCAATCAACATCTATCATCCAATTAATTTATTTTCAAATTGCTTAAATTGGAATTTTTTTTATGTGAGGTTTTGAATTTTTAACTTCCCTTGTGTTGGTTTTAACACTAGATGGATCCAATCTCGTGGATATTCAACAAAAGTATCCAACGGATGGAACCGATCCAATCATCTATTGGATCGGTTATCCAATGTTAATTTGATCGAATTGGTTGACAAAAGCCAATCATCTATTCCCTCACATCCAATGGATGTCAACCAATGAACAGGCCTACTCCTAATAATTTATGGGTGAACTTGGTACCATATGAAGCTTTTTTCAGTAATATCATGCATAATTATAATATCAATTATAATTGGTATGTGAAATCCTATATTATATACCGATGACTTATCAGGTAGCAATTAATTAGTACCAACATTTTTTGGTTGATACAAGATGGTATTGGTTTTATACCAACTTCAATTTACATATTTAATAATTTGTCATTTTGTAAAAATTTTGAGTGACATTTTTAGTTTTTATGTAACACATGTGATTAAAGGTTTTTAATGCAAAAAATAAAATTACAAACATTCACATGTTCAAACAAAATAGTAAGAAATGAAATATTTAATACACAAAATATACAAAAAATTAATAAATAATTAAATAAGTTGGTACTATGGTACTACCAGGGAGGGTCCCGACCATGTGCAACATGTACGACCGCACAGGGCGTCAAGGCCCAATTGAGTATCAAGTTGTCATCTATTACTATTTTTGTGTTTAATAATTTGATAATTGAATAACTAGGCTTTAACTATAAAAAGCAAGCTTCAGGCCTCGTAGTGATGGATATTGAATGCTCATCTTGAACGTGAACGACTGACACTCCAACAGCTCAAGCCGATTTCTATTGTTCTTCAAAGTTCGAATGTTTTGATTTTCAAGGCATGGCATTTCGTGAGCCGATTAACAGTCGTGAAACTATATTCAAGAAATCGAAGATGGAAATATCGAATGGCTGATTTCTATTGTTGATTGAACTTGTTGAGTTGTTGTGTGAGTCATAATATGATTTATGAATCTTTAATTCTCTTTACAAAGAAAATAAAATTTTCTAATTGATTACTATAAAGTTGTATCATGTGTGTTCGTGTGGGTTACTGACTTATTGGGCTAAGGCTAAGGGGCTTTTGTCAATTTGATAATGAATCTTGCTCTTACATGTTGAAATTTGCAATGCACATGAGCATATCAGTGTATCAACACAGTTGGAGCATGTTGCATAACAATAACAACATATTGTGACATTGCCTTATTGGGCACTTGTTCTTTGCAATGCACAATGGCATAGGTTATGAATTTTACAATTTACCATTGGTTTTTTCAGTTATGTTTACTTTGAGGTTTGACAATACTGCATTAGATTTAGACTCTAGTCTTTAGACAGGTGATAAGTGTGCAAAAGCATACATTTTAGCACACAATTATGTCTTTCTTTCACTTCATTTTACACCTTCCTCAATCCTATATTGAGTCTTTTAGTCTTATTTTATGGTTTTCCATTTAGTGGATCTAAGATGCAGGAATGGTAATGTCTTATATATTTGGTGAGTAAAATGTTAACATAAGCATTGTTGTAGCAGGTGCATACGTTGTTGCAGCAACGGACGCTGGATATTGACACAACAAGGCTCAATCTCGTTGAATAAGGTGAAAAATCAAAGTTTTGAAGAAGGCATCTCCTAGTACTCCTGGAAGCAGATTTAGATAGATGATACTCCTGCAAGATGCCTAAAGCATCTTGTACTAAAACATCTTTCTTTTCTCCGTTGTTTATTAACCAGTAGGTATTACCCCTTTTGTACTTTTTGATTCCCCTCTAGTAGTATAAATAGTCGTGTGTAATCTTTTGAACAAGTGTGTGAAGTGTGGTGTGTAATCTTTTGGAAACAATTGTCATCAAGAACAAAGCTTAATCTAAGCTTTGGTTCCTTGTACTTTTTAATTTGCAAGTGCTTTTCAGTGTTCTTCATTCCTATCTATTGTTACAACAACCTTTCCAGCTTTCTTTACTTTTCGTGCAAGATTTACTTTTACGCCATTTACATTAAGTCATTTCCATTTATGTCATTTACTTTTAAGCACTTACATTTAGTCATGCTAGGCTAAATACCTTAGTATGGGTGTTAGTGAAGGTTGTGAGATTACGACAAGTGTTAGTTGATGTTTCCTTGTTAATAGCAAATTATTTCACAATTCAAAAATGGTATCAATATTTCATCTGGTAATCTTTGACAAATTGACACATGTTATTTTATTTAGATGAGTTGGACATAGAATTAAGACAACACAAATATTTTTACTAAATGTGTTATAGAGGCTATAAAGAGTCACCGTAATCTTATGGGTTGCAAAACTATATGGAAAGAAAGGCAAGATCTGTACTAGTTTGGGATTGATGCATCACCAAATGCACTCCCAACATATGGTCTAATCTGCACTTTCTTGGAAGGCCATTCAATCCAGTGGTGTTGTAAAGAGCTATGTGTAGTCCAATATTCATTACACTTTGTTGCTGAAATCCAACCTGATCTTGCATCCATACTATCTTTTAATTATTATTTCATTTCAATATTTGGTTACCAACTTCTGCAAAGATATTTTCTCTCTGAAGCTTTATTGCTTCCAAAAACCCTTTTATGAAATTTCACTTTAAAGTTAACTTTTGTGACTCTCTTTGCAATTTAAATCTAATGTGGAACGATATCTGATATTACTTACCATTATTACTTGATTTGGACGACACTTGTAAGCCATGTATACTTGCATGATTTACTTGTCATTATAACCTTTCGAGGGTATAGATCCATCCACACCAACAGGATAGGATGGGAGAAAACTTATTATCTCACGTTTGACGCGACATATGACAGGTAAAGAACTCGTTGTCTCACGTTTGATGCAACATGGGACAGGACAAGAACTACGACAAGGTGGGACAACGTGGGAGAAGATGGGACAAAAATGAGATGAAAACTAAAATATTACTAACCCTCGTTTGATATATAACCTTAACATGGTATTTGTTTTAGTGGTCACCACCGCTAGTTACGGTCACCACCGCCACCGGTAGCCACCATCGGTGACTTCCCCCTCCTCCACAACCACCATAGACTACCACCGTCTGTCACCACCTCCAAAACTACCATCGGCCACCTACCACTACTATCCATCGCCACTACCACTATTGGCCACCCCCACCTTCTCTTCTACTACAACAGCCTCCTCATCCACCTCCACAACCATCGTCGTCCATTGACCACCACCACTACCACTGTTGGCACCTCCACATTTTCTTTTACTACAACCTCCTGCACCACCTCCATAACCATCGTCCATTGCCGCCACCACTACCACTGTTGGTCACATCCACCTTCTCTTCTACTACAACCTCCTCCACCACCTTTACAACCATCTTCGACTACCAACCAACACAGTTCATCGCTACCACCATGGGCCATCTCACCTCCATCATCGGCCACCACTATTGGCCACTGCTACCACATTCTACCATATTTATGTCCTCCGCAACCACAACCGTCCATCTCTACCACCACTAGTATCGTCAGCCGCCACCACCACCTCCACCATAATCACCACCATTGCCCACCATCACACCTACCTCCACCGCATAGGCCACAACTATCTCCTCCACCACCACCACTATCCACCATCTTCACGTCATCTACAACCACTATTATCCACCAATTACCAATGCTTCTGCCTCCACAACCATTTATGTTGCAACAATCTTTACCGTGCCTTCACAATTGATAAGGATCTTCCAAACCAAATAAAACATATTTTCTCCTTTATATGAAATGGGTTTTTAACAAAATACCATCATTTATATAAAAAAAATTCATTCAAATTTGGTACTATTTTATATTTATGTATATGAAAATTGTATTAAAATGTTTATAAATTAAATAATTTACTTTATTTGTGTTAATTATAACTATTATATGATATATATATATATATATATAA